ACCAGAGAGGGGCAAAGGCTACAAATGTCATCTCTTACATTAGGCAGATGAGAGAGAGACTAGAGAAGATGACTGAGCTATCCCAAAGTACTTGTAATCCTTCCAAGTAACGATAGTAAGCTGCTAGCTAAATGGCAAGGACTTTTTCAGATTCAGCAGAAACTTGGAGCTACCACCTATGAGGTGGCAACTCCAGGTCACTCCCGCTCCAGTAGAGTTTGACATGTAAATTTCCTGAAGGAGTAGGTGGAGAAGTCCAAGAGGGCAGAAGTTCTTTTGATAAGAGAGATTCAAGAGGAGGTAGAGGAGCGGTAGCTACCTTCAGCTGTGCTTCATTAAGTCTAAGGCAGAAATGAATTTGTATTTCAGCTGATGATGCTTAGATTAATTCACTGAACTCCAGCTGTACACTGTCAAGTGTAAAGACAGTATAAACTGTATAGTGTCAGTGTGGGGGATGAATCTGCTGACATATTGTTGAATTCAGTTGTTTACAGAAACTAAGAGCAGCAGGTCAGTTGACTGACGATGCGCATTTACTGTCTAGGTGTGGAGGCAAAGTCACCCTCTACGATGTAGCCAACAGAAAATAGTATAGTAATAATTTTTTTAATTCTCTTTTACTGCAGGTGTCCTACATAATAATAAAATATAAAGCAAAACGTTCAGTTACCTTTGTACAAACATGGTTAGTAGAATTGTCCTTCAAGCAGCTACGTTTTACTTTCTTACTTTGAGTACATTTTAGAATAGAATAGAACAAAAGGTCTTTATTGTCATTGTCACAGGTACAACAAAATTTAAAGTGGTCTCCAATCGGTGCATCATTCATAAAATATAAAATTCAAATAATAATAATAATAATCCAACAGTGTGAACAAGCACTCACGTGCATTCGCACACACATACCTCAGTCAGTGCGTAGATCATTTCAAGAGCAGCGTAATGACTGTTATTTGTAGCAGCATTAAGACATGTTATTGCAATTTGGTAACTCAAGTCAAAAAGTTGCATCAGTACTTTTTTAACCCAGGCATCTGTACTTCTACTTCAGTAAAGACAGTCTGTAGTTTTGCCACCTCTGCTGCTAACGGCACTTTTTTCAAGAAACGGGACAGACATGGCCAAACTAGCCAAGAAACCAGAGTGATGATCAATCTGAATGATGCACGACTGCAGCAGCCTGATCGTCAGCAGCTAACCAAAGCAGCGGTCAGGATCGTAGCCTCCATCATGATGTTAGAATCACTCTGAATCTCTCTGGCCTGCTTTTCACCTTTGCTTTGTTTTTCACATGCATGTCCTCATTAGCGCAGGGATTTGTGTTGGTGTGTTGGACTGTAGCCTATTGATCCAGACTGTTAACTGGTAATTGTGTAACAATGCATTTCAGGTCATTTACGTAACAAGTAATGCGATTAATGAATTTCCCCAGCGAGTAATTAAGTATCATACTGCATTACTTTACAAGTATGTGAAATACATTACTGTTCTTGAGTAATGACCCCAACAGCTAATGATGGGGTTTATATGCAGTGTGAAAAGAGGCTTTTTAAAGTCTTGCTCTGAACAACAAAATAAAAGAAACACCAGGTGTGTGAGTCGCTGCTGGCTCCTGTTTAATGTTTCCTTCATAAATATATGAGCACTCTCAAACTTGCCTCCTGACCCTCATTCTGTGAGAAGAGATAATTGCTTGTCAGGGATAAATATAGAGATTAATGAATTCATTAGTGGTGGGGAGTTTAGCTCTTCAGAGCAGCAGTTACTGCTATGACACATCACGCATAATGTTTTACTAGCTAGTTAGCCTTAAACAATAACATTCACACAGCAAATTGCTTCATACGCTCATGAAAATCAAAGAGAAGCAGTGTCCTTATCCTGAAATGTAGCAATAATGCAAACAAAGGCTCTCGAAATCCTGATGATTCATCTTAATTACTTTTGTCTATGGAAGCTGGAATAAGACAGGACACATTAATCCACATTAGTATCAAACACTTTAGCAATTTATATTAGCAATTTTGGCACTACAGTTTGTATGCAGCTTTTGTGCCAGATATGCAGTATCTCCACTTAATGAGCTGCAGAGCTGTGAATAAGTTTCAGATTTTTAAAGCCACTCAAACCTGTGAGCTCATCTTATTAAATATTCCAAACAGTGGGACAATTAAGAGTTTGGTTGTGATACTAAAATACAGTCAAACCACTGAAAATCTTCTTTCATTTACAGTGAGTTGGACTGAAACTGCGGTAACTCGTTAACGGAGATTTGCCGCGTTATGCCGTTAATGTCGTTTTAACGAGATTAACGCTGACAGCACTAGTGGGAACACAACGAATATGACTGCACATTTACTCCGACATCATCCTAGTGCAAAGACAAGTGGAAGCAGACAAAAACAACAAGCACGCATGCTACAAACTTTACCCGAGTCATTTAGACAGCCGTTAGCACATGATTCTCCTTATGGGGACCTGATATGTTTAATATGCTGCTGAGAATATAGCCCAGAAGAAGCGTATAGTATAGCTTTTATTTTGGAAAGAGACGTTTCTCTTTAATAAACTCTCTTTTCCAAAGATGAGTGATCCAAAGATTTGTTTTTTTATTACTTTGTTGTTTCAGCAACATTAAATTAAAAAACTGTACTTTTGAGTTAAAATATATATTTATAATTTTAATAAATGACAAATTAAAAAGGCATGAACATTTTTTGTATTGAAAAAATATCAAACCGTGACACCAAAGTATCGAACCGAACCGTGAATTTTGTGTATCGTTGCACCCCTAATGAACATGTTTGGAGTTTTTACAAGACACAGAATAAGCCTGTTTGCACGGTTCTGAAAAGAACAGGTCAAAGTTTGCATATTTTACCTTGCAAAGGTCACGGTTTACACTGCATACAACACAGTCCAAGTGCGCCTTTGCAGCAAGCACAGAAGGAAGTACAAATGTTATTTCACAATAAAAGCGATTAAAGTGCTGTTGGCCTTCTTAACTTGTTTTGAGTCACTTTTTTCAAACATGACAAAACTATACATGGTGATCTCTGTAATATCTCAGTCCATTTGTTTGATTTCTATTTACTTATAGTACAGTAAAAATTCATTTCTATCCCTACAGATACGCTCTAAACAAATGGACTCGTTTGGGCTAATATCTGGAGTTTGAGGTGATTATGTCTACAGTTTTGTGTTCCCAAACAGTAAAACGTTAATTTCTATTTCTTCCAGATTTTAAGGTGCAATATCAATACAGTCTACATTTCTCAATTGCAATCAGCTCATCTGCAGTTACTACTTAAGGTGGAGATCCGTCTTTGGTCTCTGCTGGATTGTGGAAGTCACCACAGTAAACAAGACTGGTTTGGGTGTTTGCACAGGTTGTCCTTTTTGGGGGAGGGTGGGTTTCACCAGTAGTTTGGTCTTCTGTTTCCCTCTGTCTCCTTTCTAGCCCACATTTCCTATTATCCCCTGTGTCAGGTATTAATGTTTACTCCGTCTTGTATTACTTGATTAGTTTCTCCTGTTATTTTGCCTCAGCTGTGGCGTTTCCTTAGTCCCCCATCTGAAGCCTTAGTTTGTGTGTACGTTATGTTGTATTGTTTGCTGTTTCTCACATTTCTGTGTTTCCGTTTGGATTTTCAGACATCGTCTTCTGCCTTTTGCTATATTGATCATGTCATTTACTTTGTCACTTGTGGACACTTTTCTCCCTTCACATTAATTTCCACTGACTGTAATAAAATTGTGCTAAATTTCAGCCCTTTTCATGTACATGTTAGACTATTTTTATTGCATTTACCAATATTACTTGCTATATCAGTATAAAGGGAAGTTTCATAGTGTTTAGAAAATTGACTTTATTTTTCACGTGGAAACTCCCCGTGACCATTAATTATCACCATTTTTGAATATTAGACTGATGGAAAGACTGAACAAGGAAAAACAGCAGAAAAACAATGCCCCATAAATACTTCTTGAACTATGCGAGTATAATATACAATGTATATTTTACATGGAGCCAAAAAGCAGTCAGATGGGCCAAAACCAACTTCAAATGTTCAGTTTTTCCTTCACTTATGACTTTGAATCCAGTTAAACTTGCTGGGAATTCAAAGTACTCAAATGTTTGTAAATACAAGATGTCATTAAACATCAACAACCAAACAAATACATTGATCTTAGAAAACACTGGATACATTTGGCCTTATTACACTTAAAAGCATTTATCACTGTCATTAAACTGTTCCTCAAATGATACACAGGCTGTTATCCTGCATGTGTCCGTTGTTTGGAGGCTTCTCTGTATGTCCGCTGAACAAACACAGCCAAGACTTTTAAAACTGCTAAACACCTGGTTTTCACTGTGGGTCAGTAAACCACAATATACATAACAAATCATCATCAGCCTTAAGACTCAACCATACACAGTGTTGTAGATCAACGAGCATGAACAGCACTTCACAGACGGATTTTGATGAGTCGATTAATAAGAAATAAGGGAGGGGACTTTAATTACTAATAACCAGTTTGTGTTGTTGTAAACATGTAAAAACACATTAAAGTGGAAATGAAACACTAAAGGCTAATTATCACTGTGGAGCCAAGCTCTCAAAAACTGTCAGATTTAACGATGTGTGAAGCTGGATTTAAGAAATCAGTGTGATGCTGTTGGATGCTGGATTCCCAATCAAGCTTCACTAAGAAATGTTTGTGGTGCATGTGCAGAAAACTGAGTGTGGCTGGGGAAGAATGGACTTTATTACAGTGAAAGGAACTCTTTTGTTGCATGCCAACCAAACTGGAACCAGTTTGTATGTGTGGTGACCTAAACAGGTTCTGTTCATTTTATCCTTCAATGAAATGATGAGTTGCACAAACAGGTTTGTGACTGCTCATTTGACAAAAGTCACTCTTCACAATGAAAAAAAAAACAAAACAAAAAAAAAACAGATTTAGTAGAAGCAGAAAATCTCCTTACAGCAAAACCAGTTTGACCAGAGAGAATTTATTTGATTCAGTGTGAAGTTCCATCACCGTTACTCCATATCTGCTGTCATGCATTAGGTGGACAACACCATTCAAAGTGAGCTGGGAACTAAAAGGCAGCAGGAAGACTTTTGGCCAAGTCTTCCTCCCTGAAATAAAAAACAGTAACTAGTTTTAAACTAATTAACACCATAGTCTTCATTTATAGATGGAATTTCTATTTCTAAATGTGTTGCTCACTTCTAACCCTAAACCCAAAGACAGTGTTTTTTGACCTGATGATACTGTACAAATTAATGCACAAAATAATGGGCTCTTACATGTACCCACTACAGGGGAACACTGGACATCCTGTTTCCTTAGCACCAGCACCTGTCAACATCTCTTCATGAAGAAGATCTAAAAGTAGATTATGGGTAACTACATAAAAAAAGAAGTCCAGTACATAGATGCATCCTGGATATGTTCACTAGGCTGTTTTTTCCCCACCGATATACGACAGATGAGGAAGAATCATGAGACGAGGGCAGATAAATAAACAGATCCCACAGATTCTGTTTGGCACAATCGAGCCAAGGGAGCAAACATCTAAGCTGATCTGAGGAATGTTGGCTGCTTATCTGCTAATCCATGTCTATTACAGATAAACCGCAATAAAGGAAAGGAAGGAGAGAAACTTCACTCTCATTATTCACGTCAGTTCATGGATATAATGTGGTAGCAGAAGGCCTGACAGAGCCAGTCAAAAATACAGCGCAGCAGCCGATCGAGATGTCGGGGATCGATTTAAACGGCCTGACTGGCTCATCAGCCAGCTGTAGTCCGTGCTGATAACCTGCACCTGGCTTCAGGTCATTCTGAGCAGAGGTCTGATGCAGCAGAGACATCCCTCAGTCCTGATGGCTCTTGTCCTGAATGAATTTGTATTCATACTGGAAACAAGGGGAGAAGGAGAGCTGTTAGACACAAAACACCACTTAAAGCCCATCTACTTTAATATACCAATATGGACATGATGTATCATTGTAACTCGGCTGGGTGACTTCTTTAATCAGTCGATATACAGTGCTGTGAAAAAGCATTTGCAACCTTTTATTTTTTTTTAGTACATTTAGTACTTTATCATGTTTCATCAAACAAATTTAATATCAGACAAACCCGAGTAAATACAACGTGCACTTTATAATTTTGAGGGATGAAGCTATTCTGGACCTATGTGAAAAGAAAACTGAAGAGCCTGAGGCCTCATCCAGGAGGTCCCAAAAGAACCCAGAACAACTTCTAAAGAACTGCAGGCCTCAGTTAAGTTCAGTGTTCATGATTCAACACTAAGAAAGAGACGAGGCAAAAACAGCATCTGTGATTTCCAACACGAAAAGCACTGCTGACCAAAGAGGCCGCGTGCCTAGGGGTTTCATTTTATCAACCTGTGGTCATGAAAGCGATCACAAAACTTAAACTGGATGAACTTGGATGAGTGAGCGAACAACATCATGTAAATCAGATGTTTTTGGTCTGTCCATCCACAGCCACTGTCTTTTTTTGATGTTCGAATACCTTAAATTAATTTAATTTAATTCTTATTCTCATGTATATATCTCATGTATACCTCATGCACATATCTTTCTACGTAGCACTTTTAATTCTTATTCCTACTTTTATTTTTTCATGTCTATTTAAGTGCTATTTATGACACTATGTTTGCACTGAAGCACCACAGCAATTTCCTAATGTTGTAAACCTGCTCAACATTTGGCAATAAACCCCTTTCTGATTCTGATTAAAAACTATTACAGACAAAAACTTGCCATCAAAATGAATCAGGATCTATAACTTGGGACACATTAAGGTAATTAAGTGTCTGAGTACTGAGTCGTCAAAATATGAACAGAAAGGTGACGCACTTCTTCATATTCTCTTGAGAGAAGTTCTATTTTCATTCAGCTTTCCTGCTGGATTGAGCAAATATGATAAATTGTACTTTTTTTTTTTTTTTTTAAATGTAGCTCAGTTTGGTAATTGTGGAGTTTATAAATGACACTCAGTCTCCAGTTTAATCTAATTTACACTGTACAAAAATATAAACGCAACGCTTTTGTTTTTGCTCCCACTTTTCATGAGCTGAACTCAAACATCTGAAACATACACAAAAGACTCTCAAATACTGTTCTCATCTTTATAAATCTGTGTTAGTGAGCACTTTTCCTTTACCAAGATAATCAATTCCCCCTCATAGGTGTGGCATATCATGGGGCTGATTTGACAGCATCAATAATGTACAGGTGTGCCAATAAAAGGCCTTTCTGAAATATGCAGTTTGATCAAACAGCACAAAGCTACAGATGTCGCAGCTTTTGAGGGAGCGTGCAATGGGCATGCTGACTGCAGGAATTGTCTACCAGAGCTGTTGCCCATGAAATCAATGTTCATTTCTCTGCCATAAGCCGTCTCCAAAGGCGTTTCAGAGAATTTGGCCATACATCCAACTGGACTCACAACCGCAGACCACGTGTAACCACACCAGCCCAGGACCTCCACATCCAGCATGTTCACCTCCAGGATCGCCTGAGACCAGCTGCAGCAACAATCGGTTTCCATAACCGAAGAATTTCTGCACAAACTGTCAGAAACTATCTCAGGGAAGCTCGTCGTCCTCATCGGGGTCTGGACCTGACTGCAGTTCATCGTTGTAACCGACTTGGGTGGGCAAACACTCACATTTGATGGAGTTTGGCACATTGGAGAGGTGTTCTGTTCACAGATGAGTCCCGGTTTTCACTGTTTAGGGAAGATGGCAGACAGCGTGTGCGGCATCGTGTGGGTGAGCGGTTTGCTGATGTCAACGTTGTGGATCGAGTGGACCATGGTGGCGGTGGGGTTCTGGTATGGGCAGGTGTATGTCATGGACAACGAACACAGGTGCATTTTATTGATGGCATTTCGAATGCACAGAGGTACCGTGACGAGATCCTGAGGCCCATTGTTGTGCCATTCATCCACGACCATCACCTCGTGTTGCAGCATGATAATGCACGGCCCCATATTGCAAGGATCTGCACACAATTCCTGGAAGCTGAAAACATCCCAGTTCTTGCATGGCCAGCATACTCACCGGACACATTTCAGAGTGGCATTTTATTGTGGGCAGTCTAAGGCTACGTTCACACTGCAGGCAAAAGCGCATCAAATCCGATTTTTTTGACCCTATGCAACCCATCTATCCGATCATGGTGTGACAGTGTGAACGGCACAAATCCGATATTTTCAAATCCGATCTGGGTCACTTTCGTATGTGGTGCTGAATCCGATACATATCCGATGTTTTAGAAAGCGGCTGCTGTTTGATGGTCATGTCGCATTAAATCCGTCTTTTACGTCACTGACACAAGACAGACGCCAACTATCAGCGCCGGAGAAGACATTGTGAACGCTTCCTGGCCATCCAGTGAAACTGTTGGGAAGACAACGTTGGAGAAACGTGAACATTTTATTTGTATTGTATAATCGAAACAAATCTTTATATTAAGGCCATCAGTCAAACAATACTGTTGGCCTGGGTCTAAACAGAGCGCGTTGTGTGTGACGTCTTCTTTTGCGCCGCTTTGAGGGTTCACACTAGAGCGCGTTTGCTGTCACATTTTATTTGTAGTGTGAACGAGCAGCCAAAAAATATTGGGATTGAGCATTGAGACCTGCAGTGTGAACGTAGTCTAAGGCACACCTGTACATTATTCATGCTGTCTAATCAGCCCCATGATATGCCACACCTGTGAGGTGGGATGGATTATCTTGGTAAAGGAAAAGTGCTCACTAACACAGATTTATAAAGATTTGAGAACAATATTTGAGAGTCATGGGTCTTTTGTGTATGTAGAAAAACTTTCAGATGTTTGAGTTCAGCTCATGAAAAATGGGAGCAAAAACAAAAATGTTGCGTTTATATTTTTGTTCAGTGTAATAAAAACTATACTAGAACTTTTACCTCTTTTGAACTGACAAATGAGCACTTTACATAATATTATATATATATATATATATATATATATAATATATATTATATACATATATATATATATATATATATATATAATATATATATATATATATATATTAAATATTAGTATATATAATGTATATATGATATATATATATATATATATATTATATATATATATATATATATATAATAGTTTATATTGACATCATTTAAACATTATTTATGGACGTCAAACGTCTTTTTTTTAAATGGTTAAACAGATAATAGTTAATAGAAAATATTCTAAAAATGTGCACTGAGATGGACTGAGGTGTTTCCAGTATTACAAAATTCGGCTTGTTACCATAGGGGACTTTTTTCATACTTGAACTGCTACTTAGACACTTTTTCATGCATCTCTCCAAGATTCAGATTTTTTTTTTTAAAGTTAAGAAAGACCTGTTAAAATTTCAGGCTTTTATTTTTAGCTTTTGAGAGAGCCTGGCTCAAGCATTGGCTCAGATTTCAAAGTGCAAAGAATAGCCTGAAAGTGGACAAACCAGTGCTTTTAAATGTTAAAAATGTTTAAAAAGAAATGTCAGTTTCATTTTTAAAAAAATAAATAAATAATTATGAAGCTTGGTTCATGTTTCTATGTACACTACCAGTCAAAAGTTTGGACACACCTTCTCATTTAATTGTTGTTGTTTTTTTTAATCATTTTCACAACTATTTACATTGGATGTCTTCAGTGAGAATCTACAAACTATGAATGAACACATGTTGTAAACAAAAAGTGAGAAATAACATGATTCATACTGTTAATTACCTCTGTTCTCTTCCACAGCATGTCTTTATCCTGTCTTCCTTCTCTCACCCCAACCAATCACAGCAGATGGCCCCGCCCCTCCCTGAGCCTGTTCTGCTGGAGGTTTCTTCCTGTTAAAAGGGAGTTTTTCCTTCCCACTGTCGCCAAAGTGCTGCTCATAGGGGGTCATATGATTGTTGGGTTTTTCTCTATATCTATTATTATAGGCTATACTGTACAATATAAAGCGCCTTGAGGCGACTGTCTTTGTGATTTGGCGCTATATAAATAAAATTGAATTGAAATTGAATTTAGAGTTATTTATCATTGTTTCCTTTGCTACATAATTCAATATATTCTGCTTCATATATTTGGTGTCTTCAGTTTGTATCTTCAATGTACAAAGTAGTAAAAATAAAGAAAAACCATTAAACGAGAAGGCGTGTCCAAACATTTGACTGGTACTGTAGATTCAAAATTTGGACCATAAATTCTTTTTGCAAATCAGAGCAGAAAATGTTCTAAAAATTTTGATGAATTGAGAAGCAGTGACTGCTTAGCCTTAATGTAACTGATGTAAATGTAAACTGATATGTTTCTTACCAAAGCTAGTTGCCGTCCAATGTTTCCCATAGTTATTACTCCTGCAAAGAAGATGCAGGGTAACCACGAGCGAATGTAAAGGAAATCAGGCGACGTGTACCTGGGCAGAGAAAAGGCAAACATCAGAAACTCACTTTAAACTATACACAGCAGAATTAACTGACTGTTTGAATTAACCAAGGTTGCTTTGTCATCATCATCATCATCATCATTATCATCATCATCGTTAATAATGTCCAGTCTCTGGACAAGATCTCTAGTCATTTAAAAAGTGTTATACACTACTGTGCAATACTCTTGAGCCACCTGACATTTCTTTATATGTTGAGAGGGAAATGGGAGATGGGTACAGTGATCTTTGCAGAAACTCTTCTTCAGATGGTGGCTGCCTTTAATTCTTTTCTCTGCTGAGATTAAAACTGGTTCTCAATTCACATCTATAAAGTGCAAACTGTGCCCAGGTCAGAAACAACTTATGCTGCTAACACAACTTTGGCTCTTTGCAAATATCTGCACAAAGAGCATGCTAACGCTAAGCTAGCCAAGAACCAGTGAGACCAGAGCCAGTCAGGCTGCGGCCTCCATTTCTACCTGTTTAAGTAGAATCAATCGTTATTAAGTTTTCTGAGCTTGTTGTCATCTTTGCTTCATGCTGTTGGCTTTGTGTTCATACCTAAATGCTAAGAGAAAGATCATGTGTGTCCTCAATATGATAGGGATTTGTGTTGGTGTGTGGGACTGCGGTCTGTGGGTTTATAATATTAAATGATATCTATGAGACAATACGTTTCAGGTCATTTTACAGAGAAACGTAATGTGTACAAGTAGTAACAAATTACTTTCTCCTGGGAGTAAGTAAGGCACTGTGTTAAATTTAAGAAAAGTGTTCTGTGTAATGTGTGTAATACATTATTACTTTGAGCAATGACGCCAACAATGACCACAACAAAGAGTGGAAGTACCTCTAACATGCACAAATAGTTAACCACACAATAGGCAATTAAATTTGGAATTAATAGCAGAGCCAATGAGAACTGATAAGGAATGGAATCAATAAGCGATATCTATCAAGGAATCTGAATCGCTACATTTGTATCGATTCCTATCCCTCGTCAAGATGATCCATTCAATCCCTCGACAACATTTAGGCTCGGGCTCATTACTGATGGAGTTCCCGTGAACTGAACTTACAGTGTGTTTAACATCATTGGCGTGTTGACAAATTAAGCTGCTGTCAATCAGAATTATTTCAGGTTGTATTGCATGATGGATAACAATCCGATGGTACTTTTCTGTGTTCATACTTCCATTAATTTTGGAAAGACCCTTAACATCACAAAGTGAAATGCTGCCCGGACCACGTCAGAGCCTCCAGTGTGATTTCTAGGTGCCTGTAGACAACGGTGTACCTCTCTCCTGATTTCCTCAACACATACTGACGTCAATGTGAATAAAAATGTCAGAATTTGAATTCATCACTCCATAAAAGCAGTTGACCCTGATATTCAGTCCACTTCTAATTTAATGTGCAATTTTATTTACCTCAGCCTTTCCCTTCCTTAAGAATCAACTACTGACAGCCACTCATCCAGTAGAACAAAGAGTAGATGGACAAATTGAAGGGCAAGACACATTTCCTCACAATCTGTGTCAAGTTGTTGCTAGATTTTTTTCATATTTCTTAATGATATAACTTTCAGTACTGTTCACCTGCTATAGATAGCTTTTAGGCATGCCATTTCTTTGGTTCTCCACTTTCCTCAAATTGGTTTTCATGTACACACTGCACACTATGCCAAGACATGTCAAGTTTTCGTGTTTTTGATGCCTGTCGTCCTGTGTTATCTTTGCATTTTTAGTAGATTTAACTAAAGAAACAGGAACAACCCGTGTGTTCCACTTTAGTAACAAAGTAACTAAATATAAGATTGTAAATTGGTTCTGTGCTAAGTTGTCTGTTACACGTCAACACCACACTAGTACGATCTCTAGGTGCCTTTTTACGCTTGAATGACTTAAAGGTCAGTGTTATGGATTAACAACAAAACAAGAAATCTTTCTCAGATGGTCAGGTTCATGGACCGGCCTGAAAACACCTCTGAAACATATTCAGAACGCTTGAGAAATATCACTCAAGACCACTTTAAAAGTTACAAGAAAGCCTGTCTCCTTATGGCATATAAAGTGCTAATGGGTGGCTCAAGAATTTTGCACAGTAATACTAGCATTCTGCCCATACTCTAACATTAGTCATTGTGCTGGAGGATATAGCTGTGTGCTGTAAAGGCAGCGTGGCGCTGCTAATATCGTGCCTCATATTAAGTGCGTCAGTTTTCTTTTGCTGGAAGAGATCACTGTGGACCAGTCAATATTCAACTGTTGGAGCTAGAGGAGGGTAACTTACTACATGCTGATATAACTTCTTATTATCAAATACTAAATTATAAACAGGGATTACAGTGTGCTACATTACTCTATTCAATAAGCACAATACAGAAGCCCACCAGACAGAGTTCGCTATAAGTCTGTGCTGGCACACCAGTGGAACTACTTACAAAGTTCACTTGGAGTTCACATTATTGCATTCAGCAGTTTATTTATTGGTAAAGTCTGAGTTACCAAATTCATTTGTCACTGTAATGATTTTCTCTCAAATCAGCCTCCACCCTGCACATTGTCTTAATATGCAAACTAGTGTTTGAGTAACTTACTGGAAAACTCCGTTGTAAACAAGGAGCTGGGTGGCCAGCGTACCCAAAAAGGCAATGCAGATTCCCAGACCGAAGCCGCTGCGGGAGCGATCGAATGTCCACCACAGGCCAATGGAAAGAGCTGCCAGAGTCAGAGACAGCTGAACATTGTTGGCAAAATCCACTTTCTGATGCAGGCAGAGGTCAAGGACCAGGCTGAATGCTCTACGATGCACTTACACAATGTACAGCTCCATCATCTACCCAGTAAGTCATTAAACACAAACTTCCTTGAATTAAAAGTGAAACTGTGCTTTACTTACATCTTGAATGTGTGATTTAAAGTCCACTCTGGTGGTGTACAGAGGAAAATTATTAAAAAGAGAAAATAAAAAAATACCAACGTTCTAAGGATACAGCACTGGCGTGGTTGATACCCACAAACACAGCCACGCAGCGCATCACGCTAGACCATTCCCGCTTGAACTTGTGTGGTTCACCCAGACGGCTGTCGATGCAGGGGTACAACAGCCCAATCATTGCTGCGAGGGGGGAAAAAAGGAAAAAGAATACTGTGAGGAAAGATAAGGGAAATTAGGCATCTGTATAGCACCAATTCAAAACAACAGTAGCCTCGGGGTGATTTAATATTATCGTAAGACCCTATAATATTTGAGAAAATCCCAAAAATCAGATGACCCACTATGGGCACGCTCTTGGCAACAGTAGGAACAAAAACGTCCCTTTCAACAGGAAGAAACTTGTAGCAAAACGAGGTTCAGCGAGGGGCCTGAAAACAACGTAACAATAATAAAGAGCCAAAACTACCAAAACCACCAGAGACTCATGGAGAGAAATTTGCTTTAAAAGTGTTGCAAATGAGAACAATATGATCCACAAGCATAAACTGTGCAGTGATTTGTGTGCAGGTCACACATATGCGTGCTCCCATCCACACAACTGCAAAGCAATATGACCACTCTGTATATTTAGAATATAGATGTAATTCAGGTAGTGTGATAACACAGTAACAGCAGTCTAACACTGATGTTAGCTTAGTGACTAATCCTGAACATTTCAGCATGTAGGCAGCATTTTATGGCTAATGTGTGATGGTTTTAATCTATTTATTTAGAAGAAGAAATGTCCAGTTTATTAAAAACAAACAACAACGCCCAGATGTCCCAGTTTTACACCGGGATTTGAACACAGCTTACATTTGTGGATAGAAGACTTTTTGAAATGGAAAATAATCTGATTTGTGAAGCTAAACTTTGTCCTTAAATACCATTTATTCAGGTTTGGATGTGCGCGTTTCTACAATAGTTTTTGTGTGGTCACAGTGGTTCGTGTTTGTATGTACACTACCAGTCAAAAGTCTGGACACACCTTTTCAGTTAATGGTTTTTCTTTATTTTCATGACTATTTACATGTTGGGGGATTGAATAAATCCCCACCAGTGTCACCAGAAAAGCCCCCAACCATCATGCCTCCTCCTCTATGCTTCATGGTGGGAACTATACATGTAGTCGTGGTTTCTTAGCAGCTATTTGACCAAAAGAGCCTGATCCACACAGTCTTCTCTGAACATGTAGCGATTTTTCTGCTACTGGAGCTCTGTGTGGCATCTATCTGTGCTCTAATCTGAGCTGCTGTTAACTGGAGATTTCTGAGGCTGGTGACTGGGATGTATTTATCCTCAGCAGCAGAGGTGACTCTTGGTCTTCCTTTCATGGGGCAACAACAACAAAACCCAGTTTGTTCCCATTTCTGTCATTTAATCTGGTAAAAATGCCAACGATAATGGTTCGATAAGCACAACAGCATGCAAAAATAAGTTCATTTCTGAGCGAGCAAAGAAACTCAACCTAGAATTTTTAAAAACAAAACAAAAAGATTATTTTCATTGCAGCACGCATCTACGGAACCACTAACCTAGCTACTACAGCAGTGAAACTATTTCTGCACTTTCAACAGAATGCAGAAGCCGTCCCCTGGGATACAAAGTACTGTGTATTTCAACAACAGGTGGAAATGACAGGCTCCTGTGGGCGACGCTGTGTGTCTGGGGATTAAGACAGCCTCGGGCTGTTGTGCTCTGTGCTGAGCCACTCGGGAGCAGCAGGCATTGCTCTACATTTCCATCGGCAGCATCACACCCAGAAGACAGCATTTCAATAAACCAAAAGCCTGGCGGGTATGTTGTAACCTTCAATGTAATGATGTGTGTGCGTGCACAGATATCGTCATGTTAAAAGTGCCTTGAGGCAACCGTTGTTGTGATTTGTTTCTGTATAAATAAAACTGAATTGTATAGTGTGCATAATTTTTCTAAAAATGCCACGTAGCACTAACAAGTATGCTTTTATATAAATGGTAAATGGACTGATGCTCAAAGCGCTCTTTACAACATGCCACATTCACCCAATCGCACCCATTCTCACAAGCACTTTCTCTGTACTTAGTGCTTTCTAACTACAGTCACACACATTCACACTCCGATGGATGTATCAGAGAGCAACTCGGGGTTATTATCTTGCAGCCACCCCTATAAAAATCAAAAATTTATTGTGAAAATGATTATTTGTTTGACTCAGCAGTGCTGTTGAAGCAGGAGCATTACTGTCCTATTGAAATGTTTCCCAAACTGCTGCTCAGTCATGAACACTGACACATGTTAGTGGGAGCAGCTGTCTGTCTGCAGGATGAAGTCAGCTACAGGAAGCCAGTTTGTATCAATACGGGTGCAAATTAAGATCAATATACATTTTTAGTATTGATTAATATCTGAATATGGATTTGCATTTATTTTTTGACAACCCCAATTCAAAGTCAAGTACACTGCATTTCATCATACTAACAGTTAGTGCATGTGTCTGAAAGGTTTTTTGATTGGCCAGAACCAGTGACTCAGGGACCTTCTGTCTTTAGATCAATAAATACATTTCGATGTCATATTAGTTTGATAACCTTCATTATCAAAGAGACACTTTAAAATCTCTGTGCAGATGCAAAACATTAGGGCCCTATAACAAAAGTGACACAGCATCAGTTAGGCTGTCAACATTACTAGCGGGTGTAAATATCTAACATTTTACCACCTGTGAGTATTTATCAGCATGTATCTCTGAAACAGAATGGCTACAAAGCTTGGCATGCAACTCTGAGTCCTATTTGTGTTTGTACAAATCAATGAAATAAAATAAAAAATACATAAACTTAATTAAAAATAGTAAAAATAAAAAATGTGCGTATACCTAGTATTCGCACATATGTATAGATTTGAGACTCTCAGACCTTCATGAGTTAACATATTTTCAGTTTTTGCTGAATTCTACCTTTAAATTTATGTGGAACACCATTTTAACATTCAGAAAATGCATAAACTGTGTGTCTTAATTGTATAATAAACTGAATACCATCATGCACCTGGTGAGTGCTCACAAAATATTCTGCTTATTACTGTGTAACTTGCTCATTTTAAGTAGGACTGGGAAAGATCTATCTATGCCTGACACAGATGGATAGTGTCCAATGAGCTTCAGACGGGTTCAAAGGTGAAGGCTGACACTGTTGCACCCAGAGGTTAGTACCTTTGCTGCATGCTCAGTAATTTGCTTGTAGCTGTGGAGCATTTAAGATTCACTGGAGGCATAAAGGAGACTGGAGCGATATTCTTTCCAGTACCCTTCACTTAGTGAGTAATCTAACCTGAAAAGCAGTTTAATACTTATTGCTATACAGAGAGTTCATTTTTAGTGTGCTGCTTGGTGTCGATTTCAGCTAACAACATGGAGATTTTAGCTCAGTACCATCGCAGAACCGTCTAGAGGACAGCTCTTGCTAGCATTGTAGAAGATGAGCAAGCATAAACAGAGCATAGACAAGTGCCACTTTGGACCACGGTGTTTCTGTGAGCTGTACAGAGTGTGTATTTCCCAAAGAGAAAAAAAAGTGTATGATAAGTGCACTCTGACATGCAGAAAGATGTAAGAAAGACGGGATAGGAGAGGTAAGGCCTGCTCAGTGGTGTCTGATAAACTGGAAATCATGGTAGATGCAGTGCAGGCTAAACAGTTACCTTAAAGTATTGTTGTGAAATGTACAGGGATGCACTATGTTGGACTGTTGCAGGCACGGCTGATGTGGTAACGGGCAATGTTAGGCTATATCAAGGACAGCAGACATAAATTTAAGGCCAGGACTGGTACTCGTGCCTAAGTACCTAAGCTGACCTGTCTGCTTAGATCTTCTACAATTCAGTTAAATCTGCAAAAAAAAGGTAAATCTCAGAGCAACAGCAGTGCCTCTTTCCCTCTTGATTACCATAAAAACATTAAGGATGTTCTTTGTTTCTTACTCTGCATTTTAGCTTAAATTTTGTTAAATAAATAATGACACAATAAGTCATTTGTTGTTGTTTATCTGAGCTTAGATTTGCCTTCTCTCTCTTTGTTTTCCTCGAGCGTTATGGAAGTAAACAAAAGGACCCAAGGCAAAGTGGTGTCCACAAGACCATACATTATTACAAAGTTCAAACTGGTTGATGAACACAGCTCCTGAAGTGTTTCCCAGTCATAATGAAAAACTGATAGCACTGTGCACAAAAGCAGAAGTTTATTGCTAAGGACTCGTAGCTTTCGTCGAAGCGGCTATCCTAGAGCGCAAGCTAGCCTAGGTAAATACCACTTCAGTTGCAAGTATCACTTCTAGCTACACCCTACATCACAGAGTTGGAGAACATTGAGAATTTCTTACAGCAATGATAAACAAAGACGTTAAAATCATTTTCAACTCCAGAGGGAGCAACTGGAGATGGGCAAAGAGACACAGGCAGCACCGGGGCAGGAGGTTCACAACCTCTTGTCTAGCTACATTTTGTGGTTTCCATCTGAACTTTTTCTTTCGCTTTTTATCTCGCCTGCCACTTAAAATACATTTTTTGAACCTCATTTTGAAAAGGGAAACGTTTCACACACCTGCAGCTGTCCCACAGCAGAGCGGCACCCACCAGGCCGAAGAGAAGATACTGGTTATGACATCAGGGGGAAACAGGGTGATGTTCCTCTGTACCTGAAGTAAGTTAAGCACCAGGGCCAGGAAGACGCCCACAGAGAACAACATGGCCCCTCGGATCAACAGGTTGGTCGTCCTGCAGAGCAAAATAAAAGGCGTCAGGATGCTGGTCTGGATTGGTATTTAGGTGCTATTGTGTTTTCTAGTCTTCTTGACCACTCAAAGATCTTTTTTCTCTGTACTTTAAGCACTTCATTCACACACTCACACTCTCTTGGACCAGAATTGTACCAGTGGCGAATTGGGCTTCACCTTGCTCACAAATACTTTTAAAAGTATACTGAAGGAGCTGGGACAGACCATTAGTGGACAACTTGGCTACCTTGTTACCCAGGTCACACCCAGATTACCTGCATACAGTGTTGAGTTTTAGCAGGACAACTTAGCCTCAGATTACAGTTTCTGTGCTACAATGTTCAATGAATAAAAGACTAATGAAAGATTTACCTTACTATGTAACATACAGCAAAGACAGTAAAAATAGCACTATGGGACTTTGTTGTTCTTCTTATGGCGACCTTCTGTAGCACACAGAGCTAACCTGTTGGTGATAGCTGAGATGTATGGTCCACGAGAATGCTGCATCTCTCCAGACCTCGACCACTGCTGCTGGTCGCCGGTCACTGTTCTTCCGCTCATCGTCGTCAAGGTTAGAGACATTCGTAAGACTAATTCAGGAAATTACAGATGGTGTCTGACATCTTTAAACATTAGTGTGGTCAATGTCCTCCACTGACATCCCAAACCACGCTGAAAAACAAGAACAGGCAAAAAAATAAATAAATAAATAATTAGGCTGATTTCTGTTTCAATCAGAACATCATAAAAAAGCTAGGTTAGCTGGGTGTACATGCAGTGGGTGACCTAATTGTTTTACATAGTAAGTTTTAGAACATTTTTTTTTTTAACCTAAAGGATTTATGGTGTAAGATATTATATACACGGCTTCTAACGTTAAAACTTTCTGTATCTTTCAGAACTAAAAGTCAGAGTGTATGTTCAGAAAAGTCTACATACTCCATGTTTGTTTGTAATTACAACACAAAACAACCAACTATACTCCATGATCAGCAATTCCTGTAATCTGTGCTCATTCATGTAGTCTTGTACCATCAGTAACCATGCATAGAGGTGACTGTAAAACCATGACCTGTATATAGATAGAATGAGTGGTTGACTGCATGTATACAACCTGTGCAACTTGAATTCATGTATCTAAAACTAATACACTATTATGTAACCACCATCCATGTATGCATGTGGATATTTGGTTACTGGCTGTTAAACTGTGTGGAGCATGTTCATTTCTCCTCTGTTCTGTTCTGGGGTCTTTTGGACGAGTCATCATTACCACTCTGGGGGTAACTTAATGGCTCTCACTGTGGTTCATGGAAGTCCCACAGCTTTATGACTGTCTTTGTAATATTTTGGCTGAGGGCTCTCAATCACTTTTACCGATTTTCCAAAGAGGTGATCCACCACAGCTAATTTACATTATAACGGGGAGGAGGCAATAACTTTTTCACACAGGGCCATTTAGGTTTGGCCTTTTCCCCCCTAAATAATAAACACATTCACTTAGAAACTGCCTTTTGTGTTTACTTGTGTTATCTTTGTCTAATATTTAAATTTGTTTGATTACCTGAAATATTTAAGTGTGACAAACATACAAAAAAACTAAAACACAGGAAATCAGGAAGGGGACAAATACTTTTACATATCACTGTAGCAGATGTATCAGCAGCTATATTAACCAATGCTGAATATAATGCTGCGATGCTGCGACGTTTTTCTATCTACAGACAGTTTGAGCAGATGAATGGTGAGCTTGCGCTGGATAATTAGTGTGAATGCTTGAAAAGCATTCACAGTATTGTCCTTCTAATCTTTATTAGTGTGAATGCTTTTTGGCATCTAACTCCTTCAAAACCATTCAACTTAGAAAAACCATTCAAACACCGTTAGATTCCTCTTCTTTTGGACATGACTGCTTCTACTTTTCTCATTTTTAACATTTATATTTTTAAAATTATTCAAGTTTTTTCAACAAATATTTCCCATGTATTTCAATGGAGAGACCCTTCAAATTCTCATTCAACTTCCTCCTCTTTAAACTGTATCTACTTCCACATACATTGACATAGAGCCACCATTCAAACTTTAAAATGAAGACAAGACATTCAACTATTCAACTTGTATTTATCTTTTCAATATCTATTATACTTTTTCTTCAGTTCCAGTTTAAGTTTCATACTTTTTTCCACCCGTTTCAGAATTTATAATGGGTGTGTATGGGACGGAATGTTGCCGCTAGAGTGAGACAGCTCAACTGCTAGAGTGAGAGGAGGGGGGGAATTTATCTTAAAATCTTTTTTAAAAACTGCTGCTGTGTCCGCAGCGTTTGCTCTACAGCCATCATTTTACCCTCAAAACATAGCCATCGTTGTCCGCTTTCATCCAATGTGTTTACTATTGTAATAGGTGTTATGGTTCTTTCATAAATGTCACCAATGCACAGCCTCCTCCCTCCAACTCTTCCATAGACTCTAATGTTAAAATGGCTCAGAATGTTTGTTTGAAAACCAGAAGTACAGGCTATCTTTACACTGTCACCACGTCCATATAATAAACTCCACAGGCATGAAAACTGAGAATTTGGTAGACTGGACATTGCTGGCACTCACGGTGAAAGAATTTTGTCAATGCAAGTTGTCGTTTTCTTTTGGGAACGATTTGTTTTGGGCTGACTTTTCTGTTCATTTTAAGCAGCAAAAGTGAGGTGCATGTCTGTGTGCGTGTGTATGGAGCCATTGGGTGCAGTCACTATAGCAACCAGGCTGACACCTGCCTGCCTAACGAGCTCTCTCACTCTGCCAAGATTCATCTTAAACACTTCTCTTTCAACTGCTGCTGTGTCCACAGTGTTTGCTCTACAGCCATCATTTTACCCTCAAAACATCGCCATCGTTGTTCTCTTTCCAACACCATGTCTTTCAAAGCTCAGAGATGTAAACTTTTTAAACTGTGTGGATCCAAGTGGAGGGATCACATTTTAGTCATTCAGTGATTCAAAGAATATGAACTTTTAATATTCATTCAGATGTTTTCTGACTCTAAATTTTCGTTTCTCATTACTTAGGTTTTTCTAATTTACCTTTAAAACATTTTCAGCTATTTTCCAACTTCTTCTTCTGTGTAAATGTCAGCTTTTAGCACTTCAGCACTTGTGTTTTCAGGTGCAAATTTCTGTATTTTTCATCTCATTCAACATTTTTAACTTAGAATTCAGCAATTAATTCATTTCAGTGCATACATTCAGATTCAAGCATTCACACTGCAGTTTCTTCAGAAAATGCACGTTCTAGTTAACTGTACTGATTTGACTACTGAAACTTTTAGCGTCTTTTATGCAAGGCTGAATCGGGGGAGCCAGTAGATCACGTGTGCCCCTCATTCACTCATACCACGTATCTGTATCTTTAAAGCTTTATTTTTAGCAGGCGTCAGGGCTGCCGCAGCATTTTGCCCTCGTTAGACCGATTAACACAGCCCCCATTTACCGGTCCTTTACTACCTGGTGGCGACCAAAACATGTCAAAGAAACAACTAAACACCCCAATTAAATAGTCACAGTAGAAAACACGCAGCTGCCGGGGTAACGTAGGTTAGCTTAACGTGAGGTTCGTTGTGTGTACGTAAGCACTGAATAGTTAGCTAGAACGAACGTGTCGTGTACGTGATAGCACACTGGCTAAGGCCCAAGCTCTTACCTTATGCCGACAAACACCTCGTTCTTACACATTCATTCATTCATTTCAATGGCTTTTGCTCGTCGTGTAACACTGAACTGAAACAGACGAAAAGCTAGAGTTTTCTCTCCCTATTGTGACTACTTCCGGCTGAACGGCTAGCCGTTCGCGTTTAAAGGCATGACGTAACCGCGTCGCAAAAAATGACGCGTCATGTGATTGGATGTGTGCGGAACGTTAACCCAATCGCTCTGGACTATAAAAGAATGCCAGCGATGTTGTAATTGTGCAGAAGCAGAGACAGATGAGAGACAGGATCTATTGGATAATCCTTCTGTAGAAATAGTTTCAACTGTTGATTGTTTTTATATATAGTTTTTAATTCACAGTCGCTTCATGCGAAATGTTTATGCCTCAATAACTAGGAAAGGGACAATGGCCATGTTTAATTTAGTGAGCAATTAAATTTATCTTTTGTAGCTTAATAAAACAGCCCCAATACCCAGCTCAGCGTTGTACTCTAGTTTTTATCCACTCAAAAGAATCCTCGCATATACACGTACACTTAATTTTGTATTTATTTATTTTATTGATTTGTTTTGTGGTGTGATTGGCTTACAGTAATGAAAAAGTGAGAAAGTCACCGTGCACTGTGGATTACTCTTAATCCTCATTTATGCTATTTTGTAATCAGCATACTGAGACCTGCAACTCATGATGGTGTTTTGGGGATTATACCTAGGTACACAATGGTTTTAACAGAAAGAGGCTTGCCATGCTCTCTTGTCAACTATAGCACTTAACTCTATCTGTTAACTGGAGTCTACATGCTATGGATCTTTAAAAAAATACCTGTAGAAAGCTTAACACTGAAAAAATGTTGAACTGAGGGAAATTGTTTGTCAATATATTTACTAAAATCCTTGAATAAACTCACATTAGAATTAAACACGAGTCCTACATGATAAACTGGACTGTACTACACTAAGCAGTAATTGGTAGTGCTCACGTGGTTGAAAAGAGTGCTGTACCTTCACTGAGTCCAGCAAAGTTGTGTCCTCTATCATTTCTAGATATTTTGGGAGGTTTGATTGACGTGAAGTTCAGTTCAATTTATTTATACAGCACCAATTCACAGTTGCTTCAAGGTGCTTTAACAGTTAGAGTTAACAGTTTGAAACAATTTCTTTCCATCTGAGGGTCACTTTA